AGAGAGAGAGAGAGAGAGAGAGAGAGAGAGAGAGAGAGAGAGGCATTTAAACACTTCTGCAAAATGAAGTCATTGCAAGCACTTCCAGTCACAAATGCAATAGTGTTTACAATTGCACGTGTGCAATGTGCATCGCTGGAAACGGCATGAGAGATCTTTCAAAAAAATTACATTTTTTGTAATTTTTGAAAAAAACAAACAAGAATAGAGCAATGTGGCATTTATGCCACCTTATCGAGTTCATTTAGTTCTATCCCTACCAAAAGTTTAAACTTTGTACTGTGTACAAAACTTAAATTTTCCAGCCAAATGAACAGGGTTTCTTCAATTTGGAAAAAAACCTACATATGGTTTAGGCGCTAGTGGCGTTCACAGACGGACGTTTTAAAAAGAACCACTTTATTGGTATTAGGGGACCCCAAAACGTGCATTTCTGTTGAAATCGCGAAATTGATTTTCCGCTGCATTACATAACTTACTCTATACTACGTATATGGGAAAGTAAAAATGAATAAATACAAATAAAAATAAATAATTTTGTTTATATTATTAATAAGAAAACTCAAAGTTTTTCACACCGGCAGCAGGGGAGTAGTGGCTCACCCCTTGAAAGAGACCAATGTTCATTTTTCCTAATTTTCTCACATTAATATGCACTGGGGAAAGATTACATCCTGATACTTTTATTTTTTACTGTTGACATGACCCATTGCCAGTAGTGGAATCAGGGAATAGCAGGCATGGCACGTTCAGTTTGCAGGAGGTACTATTGAAGATCTTTCATAGGTTTTTACATTAGTACTGCATCTAACAACTCTAAAGCAGGTTCACCTTTAAATACTTAAGCTCTTGCACTCATAATAAACATTTTCTTTAGAATTCACAAATTGTACAGAAAATGTTGTGAAATACATTTTTTAAATTACTCTTTATTGCATTAATTTGATTACTTTTCACAGCTGTAGTACTTTTCCATTTCCTGTTTTATAAAACACACCCACCCAACAACAACACACTTTACACTATCACATTTTTCCCTTCAAATGTCCAAACACTAGGGTGCTTAAAACCAATGAAATAACCATTTCAAAACATTGTAGAAGAGAAAAACCTTTCATTACACTGAACATTTTCAGAAAATGTTTGTTTTTGACTTACCTATAGTTGAAATCTTTTGGGAATGCAAGAAACTTCAAGTACAATTTAACGATTTTTCTTTAACCAACTCATTGAACCATGAAAAAAATTTACATTGGAGGTATGCAACGACAAAAACTGTTTAATTTTATAACCTTCAGAAATTTTACTGAAAAAGACACTTATGCAAAATGATTTTACATATTGAACCCTACGCATACAAAGATTTATTTTTCTAACCATTTTAAAAAGATCTTGTTTTGGTATTTTTGTAACATAAAATGATTTGATGCAAAATTGCATTTTGAAAGCAATTGTCTCCAAGAAGCTGTTTAAAGATCTAATATTGAAATTTTTCAGCATTACATTAAGTTATATGTTATTAAATTAAAAACATTAAAGTTATATGTTAAAAGTAATTTTCAAAATCTCAAGAGGTTTTCCAGAAAATCTGACTTTTTCCTTATTGCTAAAGATTATATTCTATTCATGGGAAAAATAATTAAGAAATACAAGGAGTTATTTTTAAGAAATTTTTGCAATGTCCTACAGGCTACATCTAAAGTAACAGAAAAATGAAGTCTCAAATTTACAAATGTATCCCAATGAAAAAAAAACAACCAAATTTACAGGACTCAAGTTTGGCCAGGTTAATCAGAGAAAATCCTGTGTACAGTTTAGGCCTTATGTTGTTCACTGACAAGTGTTTTTGAAGAAAAGAGAAAGAAAGAACACTTTTCTGGCACCAGGGACCCCAAGAACTTGCATTTCCATAAAAAAACAACTCAACATCGATTTTTCTTTTCAGCATTACTTAGCTTTCTGAATACTATATGCGCTAGAAAATAAAAAGGTATGTTAAGCTTCTTGTAACATTCCTCTTAGTTGACTTTTTATTTTAACCTCTCTTTACCAAACATTCATCATTTCTTACATCTCCCCTTTCAAATAAGCTTACAAGTTCTTATGTATAATTAAAATCTGTAGTTTATTTCATTACATGGTCTTTTGCTTTGTTAAGATTTATTATTATAATTTTCTTATAAGTTTCATTTCACACTTGGATTTGCTAAACAGTTAAGTTGCAAAGCTGTTGCTGAAGTAGCACAAGTTCGCAGTTTAACACATAACCTTTCTGAGAGTTTATATAGTATTTTATTTCTTTATGCTAGTGGAAGAATTTGAGGATTTATTAAAACTTGCAGTGTAAATAATTCTTAACCAACACCATACATCTAGATAATTTTTTTTATCAAGTAACAATACAAAACCTATAACATTTCACTGAATAACCAATATTCCCAGAAAAGTGCAGGTCTTTCACTTGCATCAAATATTATAATATAGAATATACAAAAGCTTAGTAATAACTTACCTTACGCTTGCGTTTTTCACGTTTGGCAACGCTCTCATTTGTAAAAGCTTTAAAAGCAGGAATTTCACCCGAATCTATAAAGGGCTGCAGAATTTCTCGAAAACGACTTTCCTCTTCAACATGCGAGAAAGGAACAGTTTCAAGAATCCAGTCAAAATTACCTTTCCCTTCTATGTAAGCTCTTTTTAGATCACCCAATTCTTCTTCAGATCCTGTTTAACCAGTTAAATATCATTACACACCTTCTTAAGTACATAAATCAAAAGTCTTAACTTATGGGAACTGGCCTTTGTAACTTTTTTCGTATCTGTTGATGTCTTCCAGAGTGATTTTCTTAAAAAGTCTTCGCCAATATTCACTCCAGTCTTTTTCCGCTTGTTCATCTTCTTCATCATATGAACCTTTGTAACATTGAATATAATTAACGTTTATTAAATATCGAAAATAATTATCGTTCTTTCATTATTCTTTATGGTACATTTCCAAAACTAGTGAGACCGAAGTTTACCTGTGTCATCGTAAATAGATTTCTTCTCTTTGTCACTTAGGATGGAATGGACTTTCCCCAGTACTTTAAACTTTTCTGTAGCTTCTGCCTTCTTTTCATTTTCAACTCTATCGGGATGAACTATTAATGACAGCCGATGGTAAGCTTTGCGAACTATGACATAACAAAAGCGAGGAGAAACTTAATTATTTCATATATTTCTTACGTACCGAGGATTAGTAGGTTAGAATGTCCAACAATTTACCTTGCTTTTCATCTGCAGTCTTCGGTATTCTCAAAACGTCATACAAATCTGTACATCCAAAGTAACGTTTACACAATTCCGTGAGTGTTGGCATGCTGAAGAAACAAAACTGTAATTAATATATACAAAACACACTATACAAAAGAGACGAACGGAGACGAATCACTGACTTCAGAATTTAGGCGCCACAGGAAGCTAAATCGCGCATGACACACACATCGTAATGGTGGACTTCCGCCGTTGTAAATTTCAATTGTTAATTGTTAATGTTACATTTCGTTAAAATTTTCTAAAAAATTAAAATTTATTTAATTATTAAATTTACCATGATCATTTGAAGATCATAATTAATGAAAATAACACACAAACAATTATCGCGTTGCCAACTGTCCGGATCGCGCGACTTTGAAAGCTGTCACTGAATAAACTTCGCGGTTTGTCAGTTATCGGCACTAAAAATTATAGATACTTGGCGAAAAAATATTGTAATTATTGGAAGCTGATCATTCACGTCTGAATAAACCAAGAAAACTGTCCACTTGCTATTCTATTTAAAAGCAAAGTAATAAAGACACAAGGCAAGGATTTGGGTGTAATGTAGACAAGTAAAGTAAACGCTCAGTAAAATATTTTATTACAAAATGAAAATATAATTTTTATAAGTATTAAGTTCCCCCATACTTAAATGGTGTACCTGCCTCAACCTGGAGATACCTCCCCATTGTTCAAGGTTTGTATATTACATATTTATAAATAAATATATACACCTTTTTATTACGAAGTAAGTAATGCCCCTTTTAACGAAAGAGCAAGTGTAACAGAGAGCTGTAATGATTTCACCAAAATAAGCTCAAGTTAAACATTTCTCATTTGCTGAACAGCACGAACATCAACAAGAATATATCTACATACAAGTCTAAACATGGTACATATACATACAATCTTTGTACAAATATTTCTCATTACTCTTCTACACGATAAAATAAGTTACAATATATACTGTATAATGGTATATGCTTCTAATTCTCAAACAACCTTTGTCTGTGCCAAAACAAATTACATATCAGTTTCACTATTATATAATTGATGTTATAAAAAATTTGCATCAAGGTGTGCTGTGCAGACTGCTACGTAAAACAATATCCCTTAATAACATGATTGAAACATAGGTTTGGAGAATTAATTTTTATGGGAAGAGGAGGATCATGTAGGGAAATGCACCAAAAACACAAGAGAAAAAGAAGAGAAAAAAAAATTGAAAATTTAGTTCCAGAAAACAGTATGCACAGTTTAATGTCTAATAAAAGTATATGATATTTCTGTAGTTATTGTACAATAAAATAAAATCTTCAATCATAAATGTATTACAATCAGTCAACAATGAAATATATTTTCAACAAATATAATTAAAAATGATGAAATATTAAGTATGAAAAATACTTAAAGAAGTGGGTGTCTTCATTACAAACTAAATTTGATTATAAAAGTGACTTGTTTTCAAATGCACTGATCAAATATTGAAGCCAAAACAAATTCTGTGTGTTACCTTTTTATATACACATATATATATATAATTATTACTGAATTAAACAAATGATCTGCAACAATACGAGTACATTTCTTTGAATTAAAATAACATGAGTACATAATTATATTAATTAAAATCAATATAATGCATTTTAAATACTCTGAAGTCAGTTAGTAGTCGTCAGTACAAATATAAACGTCCTGGTAAACAGGATTGAGCTAATATAATGTATACACATTTTCTTTGAGCCTGCTCCCAAATATGAAACTGCTGGCATTTATACAGGTCAGGCACAGCAGGAAAATATAATAACACTCATATCTTCAATCTACATTCCTCAAATATCATCTTTCAAATCTCGTAAAATTACACTGCCATTGCCTCACAATATACACTTCCAAACATTCTCTATCTCCATACATTGTTCAAAAGTGAATGGCAGGAAAGGGATGAGGCTATAAAATTTACACCAACCCTCACCCTTAAGGGTCCCCAAATAATCTTCTTTCTTAGAAAGTACATGTATTTACAATTCCACGTTGTAGAAAAGGAGTCAGAGAGTTCATAACTTCATGAGGAATAAGGATGTGTAACAGCAACAATCTTCATCTGGAAAACTTTAAGTCACACAAAGAATGAAGGAATCTTTTCCAACATTTGAACATAATATCCAGCCCACAAAAACATTAGCAACAGTTCTGACTTGGGGCCCTTAATATTCCCATTTCAGGGCAGGTAGGGATGTATTTGTTATAACAGTCTGGGGAGGATTACTATTTCATGTACAATGAATTCAAATTTCCTCCTCATAGACCCTCAGACTGTTGTGTGAATAAACTGACAAAATGCTAACTTTAAAAAAAATGGATCGAGTGCTTTGAAAGACACTTAACATGTCACAATATTAAGCAAATAATGGCCATCCAGCCATTTGATTTGCTAATCAGTAACAAAATTTGCATTTGTATTACAGCACAAAATTCCAAGCTAGTGGTCACTGCTGAATTAGCAATGTCTCCACAAGCTTGTGAACACTGGATTCCTGAATGTTGAGAGTTGAATCTTGTGGGTCACAGCAAGTACCCAATATGAATTAAATGTGCTACTTCATACGGTTGATAACGAAGTCACCGACAACCTGCAAAGCTTTCTGATATGGAGATTCTGCTAATGAAGATGCCAGGCGGGAAGCCTCAGCAACATGTTGACGAGCCAAGAATTGTGTTTGCTCCAAGCCTCTTGATCGATGTACAAGTTCAAATGCATGCTCCACATCTCCAGGCTCTTGGAAGCGTCTCATGATCATAGGATTAAGCTCTGGGTACTGGAACAAAGGGGAAATTAAATATTTTATTCACTATAACAAAACATATCACAATTATTTAAAACAAAACAAATGTTACTGTTACTATCATGTCATTGAGAATGCAAAAGAATATTTAATGAGCAGGACTCGGACTGGGTCATGGACGACCTAAAATTCTTTAAAAATGACCTATAAAAGACGTAAAAATAAGGGGAAATCACTTTATTTAACTCTCAAAATACTTTTATATGTCTATTTATTCAATGAATTTTAAAATTAAAAGAAAATTAAATTCTAAATAAAATGTATTTATATAAAATTATATTTAACATAAAGTCTTTATTTTCTCTTCCTTAGCTCCGATCTTCCATCTGACAGTTTTGAAAGGTCAAGAAAGTTACTGAAGATCCATGTAATTTTGAGAGTTCGTAAAGAGTCCATGGCAATAGAGAATTTTGTCATGACCTAAAAATTTAGAAACAGGCAAAAAATGAACCAATAACTAAACATTTCTATCACCTACATGTAGTGATAAACATTCATTTAAAAGTTTGCTACATCTTGATTACAATAATTATAGATTACACGTCATCAGAATCAGAGCCTTGGTGATGAGAAGGGGAGGGATATCTATGATCTAAAGATCAGAAAATGTGCTTGCATTTATGACTGGCAAAAGTGAATTTATGGCTCAGGAACCTCTGTGACTGTGGGAAGATGAAAAGTTTCCAAAAAATGCAAGAAAATGTTAAACATTAAAAAATTATATGGTTTAGTTGATAGTGCTGTTCATGTACACTGGATGAACAAATGGGCATATGAACCGGCGGACGTTTTGAAAAACCAACAAACAACAACAACACACTTTTTCGATATCAGGACCTCCAACGTGCATTTCTGTTGAAATCTCGTAATCAATTTTCCACAGCATTACACAATTTGTCTATGTAACTCTGTATATTACTACTTATATACACATGTATATGAGAATTTAAAAATTCTTTTGTAGACAGTTTTGAACCCTTGCACCCACTCAAAGATCTGCGATTAAAATATTTATTTAAATTAAAATATTTGTTTATTATTTCAAAACAAAAGCCTGTATATCAGCTCCAGTGGTTATTTATACTATATGAATACTCATTAAATTGTTTTTACAATTTGTGTCTGTCAGTCATAGAAATGGTTAAACCGTTGGGATTTTCCCACAAAGGTAAAGCATTTTGGGGGCATATATTATGTAAAATAATTACCTTAAAAATGAAGTATGCCAGAATGTGTGCCAGAAAAAAATCTCCTCAAAGGTGGCTGAACTGATTTTATTAATTTTTGAGAAGGTAGAAAAAGCCCAACTGAGGATCTTATGAACTTATTTATTTAACAGTTAAAAACTGTTTGTGATGTGGTTTGTGATAGTTAATTTATATTTAAAGCAGTCATAGAAGCTAGAAATATTGTTTTAAGCCAACTGTTTGTTATTTCATAATATTTCAGACCTGGGGCAGACCCAGCTTATTCAATATTATTACTTAATAACATAATTCAAATATAAATAAATATTTAAATCAATTTAGCCAAATAAAGGAAGGTAAACAAAAACTCTAGGCCTAGACCCACAAGTGTTACAGACTTGTTTGTATGCTTCCCCAGGTGTCAATTGAGAAACTATTGACAAACTTTCAATCAGACAAACAGTTAAAAATCAGTGGTGGGTAGATCTATCAAATTAGATTGAAACATTGCATCTTGTTCAATGACAGAGCACATCTTCATTATTGTTGATGAACATTAAAATTATTTTGATTCTTTCATTTTGAAGGAAGAAAGAAAAAAAAAAATTATACCAAATTACTTTAAAGGTCAGCCATCAACGAGCCAGAATAATAATCCATCTTCATTTTTGTTATTTGTTTTTCCAAGAGTGTGCAACAAACTAATATTTAGCAAGATTGTGGTAGCAACAATAGTAGTTCCGAAAGAAGCAAAGCTACTCAAAGGAGAGTAATATAAAATTGTGTTGATATTTTTTTTATTTGCGAGCTAAAATTATAAAATTAATGAGCAGTAAATAGCTGCCCAGTAGATGATACAGGGGTAAACAAGTGGTGTAACAAATGTCACAGACTTTCATGTACTAGTTAATTTTCTAATTTCTTTGGTCAGGGCTAGCTTTTTGGATTTACACTACCCTCTCCCCAGCTACCATCTATTGCTGTCTAAAGTATATAGTAAAACCTTGTCCAAATGGAAATTTTTATTTACAAATTTGGAACCATTTTTGAGAAAATGTTTGAGCATTTTTAGAAATGTGCATTTTGAGGTTCATTTTCAAAAATACTTTTGCATTTCCGAAAAAATTCATAAGAAATTATTTGAAGGAATTGTACTCGCAAATGCCACAATATATTCAAATTGCTGGTAATGTAAATGTGAATGGAATGAAAGACATTTCAAAAAATTCCATTTCTGTAATTTTTGAAATAACACAAGAACGTCAAAGTGGCATTGATGTCTTGTTTAGTCCATTTAGTACTATGTCATGTTTAGTCCATTTCTATCGGTGGACAAAAATTAAAGAAAAAATTTTGAGCCGTTTTTGAGAAAATGGTATTTTAGTTTCTGAGAAACTTAATAAGGTATCATTTGAAGCACTTGTTCTCACAAATACAATATTTACAACTGTAACTTTTGAAAAAAACAAAAGAATTCAGCAATATGGTGTTTATATAATCTTATACAGTAGGTGTATTTATTACTATCCCTACCAAAATTTAAAGAAAAAATTTGGAGACGATTTTTGAGAATTCTTGTTTTTGATATTTTTTAGTATTCCACATATTTTATCCCATATTGCACAAAAACTGTGAGCATGAAAGAATTTATGGTGAACAGATTTCATTTCAAGAAAAAATCTCTATCTTCATTATGATAGATGTGAGGAGATGCTGAAAAAATTCAAACTTTTCTAATTTTCAAATATTTAGAGTTAACAATAAAATCAGACTTTTGCCATCTTTATTAGTACATTTCTCTCTATTCTTACAAAACATTTGGGGTCATTTTTGAGAAAATTTTGATATTATCCAAGGGACCTCATGTAATGTACCCACAAATTTTAAAGAATGTTTTTCAAACTTGTCGCGTTTTTTGTCACACAAAATCAACCAACAAATATCTATTATCAAAAATGGAAAGAAAAAAAAATGTAGCATCCCACAACATGTGTATATTTGTTGAAGTCTTAATATTGATTTTCCGCAGCATTACAAAACATTCTCCATACTACATATATTACTCGTATTTTTGTATGTATTCGAGAATGTAAAAATTTGATAAATAATAGAAATCCTCTCTCTATTGCTAACTTTTTTATTATGATTATTAATATGTATGTTCTGTACTATTTGTATTATTGTGAATGGTGTATCTCAAATTTTTCATTTATTTGAACAATATGACTGACAATGATGGTGCTCTCCTCGAAAAGTATAAAGTGGGTCCTCTTTATATGATAGATCAGTCTTTACATGTGAATATTTTTGTATAATTTAATATAATTAAATAAACTCAGTCATAAATTTAGATCACGAGTCATATGACTTACTTAACTCAGCATACCAAATAGGAATGTGTGTGTTATTAAGTATGTTATCATGTTATCAAGTATTAAACAGAGCAGAAGCATAGTTGCTAGTAGTCGAGAGGAAAAAAGTAAGAAGAAGAGGTGGGATAGAGGGGGGGAAGGGGTATGATTAGAGTTGTTTTATAATGTTTAAGTTTCCTTCCTGGATATTCTCTTATGTTCTACTGATTATATAATTATAAGCAGTTGTAGGTACCCCAACTCTGTAGCATGTTATAATCTGTCTTTCTGTATGCTAATAAATGCTTAGTAATCTTAAAATATTAACTCATGCTTGGTATATAAGATGTAACATACAGTTTGGAATTTGACTTTTCAATGTTGGGATCCTGTACAAAGCAATTTCATTTTAGAAATTAAAATGTATAGAGTTGAATGTTTGCATCGGTTTACATAGAATGTAACATTGGAATAATTGTTGTTTATTTTAGTGCAAGGTACCAATTTAGTACATTGTAGAAGCCCATTTCATATAGTTTTGGCATGGAAATTGTGATCAGAGTGTGAATTGATGGGGGAGAGGGGGTTACCAAGGATTGTTCCACGTAGACAGATGGATAGCCCTTGCTGGAAATTATTAATTCTTCCTTGCACTTCATTTATGACATTCATACTTTGAAATGTTAAAATCAAGGAATCCAAATAAGTAAATTGAACAAGAAAATATTCTCAAGAGCATTCTTGGTATTAATTCAAACTGATGCATAAACTAATTTATCCTTTGTTTCACTAATAAATTCTTCAATTTGTCCCTTACCAGAGTTTTGATCCCCCCTCTCCAGCCCACCCCACTTCTGAAGAAAATGACCAATTCACACACTTGATGGACATCACCTGTCAAATTATTTTGTCAAAAGTTGTCTGATGAGTTGTATATTTTACAGTTGAAATAACTTGTTTCAATCCCGAGCTTGAAAACAAATATGAAAATTACAAAATATGCCACTTTTGTTTAACACATTTCTCATTCAGATTTTGTTTTCAATCAGAACTTTTATCTTTTAAAAATTCATTACAAGAATATTTAAATTAAATTTAAAATTTCCATACATATTCACACAAAATTCCAAAACAAGATAGGAATTTGAATTATATACTTGTTGTTTGTGACAAACATCCTGAATTTAATACAAGAATTACAGATTTTATTTTTAAAATGTTTGTATTGTCTCTTGATATTAGGTTGAATAAAGAACTAAAAATCTTACATTGAAACAAGGTACATTCTTGGGCTGCAATAATTTAAGAAAAGTATTCATTAGAATAAAATTTAAATATTTAAATATAAAACCTCTCCAGAACTCTTTTCAATACACTTCAAGAATATTATGATGGTACAAGTGAAGGTTCTGAGAATAAAACTTTGACATTGTGACAGTTTCCAATTTATAACAAAACCTCAGACTCAACATTTCAACTGAGGTATTTTTCAAATTTTTATTTTAAATTTTTTTTTCTTATGTTCGTTTGTTAGTAATATTTTGTTTCCATTCAACTTAATTTTGTTTGTCATTCAGTGGTGAGGCATGGCAGTTTTGCAGAGACATTGTTAGATCTGCCCAGTGCTTTTCTGAAGTGACATATATTTATCGCAACTGCTGGAAACCTGCCCAAAATATGAACATTTGACTTGATTTACTTGAAAATTTGTATGCAATAGCTCCAGAGGTTGTTGATTAAGAATATGAAACTGCTACTTTAAAAACAATTTTCAAGCAAATTAACCCACAACTTCATAATTTTACAGCAGTTGGTGCCGGTGTGCACTGTTTCAGAATGACACTGGGCAGGTCAATTGATGACCACACAAACACCCATGCCTCGCCGTTGGTGTCAGTATATTTGTGTATTCAATTAACTATGATACCAATATTCTAAACCTCAATTTGTGAATGGTTACAGTTTTGGCATATTCTTCTAATTGAAGATGAACATGTTTCATATTAAAAAACGTAGTGAATATCTGGAAAAAATGTACCTCATAACTAGTTGCAAAAATTGAAATCATACGCTATAATAACTATAAACAACTTTAGATCATATGCCATGGAGCGAGTCAGCACATTCCATTTTTTGGCAACAAAATTGGCTCGAAAGTGGGATTATGATTGATGATTTTCAATTCTTTCCGTTTCTTCTTTCAAGGTTTGAGTGGTAATGGTCAAAACTAGTGGGACACAGACTTTCTCATATTAGTTAATTTCCTTATTTCTTAAGACTGGGTTCTATTATCTACTCGGTCTATTTTGTTTTGTCCCATCCTCTCCCCAGCTGCTACCTATCAATGCCTAAAAGAAATTTTTTCACATTATTTAACTTTTTGATTCCCTAATAGTAGAATTTAAATATGACTCAGACTATTGTGGAAAAGTAAAACCTGATACCATATACAAATTTTCAAGGAAAAATTTGGTGCCATTTTTGAAACAAATTTATTTGAGCTTTACAGATAATGCAAAATTTTGAGAAACTTCATAAAAATTGCTTTGAAGCATTTGTACTCCCAAATACAACAATGCATAAAGACAAACAGTCAGACAGACTGATGGACAGACAACGGATGGATAGACGGAAGGATGGATGGATGGATAGATCTGTTAATAACATATCAGCTTATGTATACTAGGACACTTTGGCCACATGCCTGTTTATAGAGAGGGGAAGATTCAAGACTAAGTTTGTTTTTGAAATACTATTTCACAAAATTTAGAAATATTGAAAGCCCCTTAAAATTTTTAAAATACATTTTCCTGAAAAATTGTAATGTATCAATGATTTTAATGACTATTACATGGCAGTCCTGCTTGCATTACAAATTTCAGAAATTTTACTAAAACATCAAAGTAATATTTTTGTAGTAAAAAAATCACATTTATAAAAGCATGTGTAATATTACACAAGTTTTTCTACAATTCAAATGGATTTAGTTTTAGATTCCTAGGTGTCCTTAAACATTTTACCAACAGTGTAATTTTGAAAACCAGATTTCATTTAGAAAAAATTCTACCTTTAATTAACTACTTATACAAAGACATTGAAAAAATTTCTAATTTTTCCAATTTTCTGAAATTCTGGGAGTTCAATGAAAATCGAGTCGTGTGCCATTATTGTAAAAGTACATTGAAAGAAATGTAAATGTCCAAGAAAAAAATATTAAAGAAAAAATGTGCATCTATTTTTTAAGAAATTTTGAAAATGTTGTTGAGGCTTTGTATTCAAATATCAAAATATCCATTTCAAATTCAAGGGGTAGCCAATTGATTGAAGCCAAATTGATTGAAGAATATAAATTTTTGGTCAAAACACTATTAATGGTTTAGGTGCTAATGTTGTCCATGGCTGGTGGAATGTTGTATTATCATAAACTAATATCCAAGAAAACCAAGCGGTATGAAAAGATGTAAAAGAGAATGTAATTTACTACATATATAGGAGCACGAATTATTCATATTTTCAGTACAGGGACTCAAAATCCAACCTTTGCTGTTGAAAAATCATCACTTTTCACTCCATTGTTAACATACTTTATCCTTACTACATAAATTAAGTATGTATTATATAAGAATGTAAACATTTTAGACTTGACTGTCACTAAAACTGCAATGAAAATTTTAAAAAAAGGTAAGTGTAACCTTACAAATATTGGGAAACTGTTATTAATGGAAAAATAAAACAAAACTATTTTTTTTACAAATCAAAATAAAACAAAACCATTGAAAAACAAATTTCCAATAGTAACAAACATAATTAAATAAAATATAATATAATAGTAACATATATAATTAAAAATATGTAAATATTACCTGAATAGAAAAAAATATGAAAAAGAAAAGATGAGAAAGTCATAGAAAAAATTGAAATTGAAACAATTACTGAAAGCTGTAGATGGTAGAAAATATACAAGACTAACTGAAAGAATGTGACAATAAGAATAATACAGGCAAGAAGCAAAATTGCTACTCAAGTTATTGCAAGTCAATTAAATTAAATTGCAATATTTTTGGCTAAATGAATGACAACATTATATTATTCCAAATTAAAACTTTCCAGAATCTAAAGTTCATTACACACAGTCAAAAACACTTGAAGACTAAACATAATGTTTGTTAGCTAAGATGCTCCAATAAAATATATAATGCCTTCTAAATTTGTAGGAAATGTTTGAATTCAGAAATTTTTTTCAATTTTCAAACTAAGTGTTACCTTTTCACAAGCAAAAAGAACAGGTGCTGTTGCAAGTCCAAGACGAAGATCAGCTGCAGCTGGTTTACCCATAGCAGCAGTTGAAGACACAAAATCCAAAAGGTCATCAACCAATTGGAATGCAAGGCCTACATTACGTCCGTATTGGAAGCATAATTCTGATAATGGTTCATCGGCTCCTGCCAACACCGCAGTCTAAGAACAAAGAATTTTCATTTAAAAATTTAGTACATATCAATTGCTTTACTTAACATTTACTTAACTTAAACATTTTCAACAATTTAATCATGGTTTAGGAAATATAATGTGAAGCAAGAAACATGACTTAAATATGAAATTGATGTCAAAGAGAAATTAAGAAAAAAACATAACATGATCAAAGGCAATAATACAAACTAAAGAAATTTAGGGAGAGAAATATTAATTTCAACATAAGAACATTTCATTATTGAACTGGGCCAAAGTTCATCTAGCCACATGAAACTGAATATGACTCTAAACTTCATTTTTTGATCCAATATCCAATGTATATAAATAGAGAGTATATTTGTTTACAATGCACTTCAATTGAGTGCTTAATACTTTCAGTTACCTTTACACATTAATCAGGCCTAGCACCATAAAAAGAGGAGCAAAAGGTTTAATTTGAAGGCCCTTGCAACAAAACATATCTTCTCCAAAATGTAGCACATAACAACTCTGTAACACTTCTCTAAAAACATAGAATTTGTGTCTTTCCTGATTCATAATAAGTGAAAGAAATCTCACCGCTTTCACTGAATTGGCTATCAAAGAGGCAGTTTTCCGATAAGTCTTGGTAAGATAATGGGCAAAGCGCTCATTCTCAGTTTCTTTAGATCCAAGCTGCATGAATTCACCTTGGACCAAATCTTGAAGAACCTACAAGGAAAATAAATAATAATAAATGTGTTGAATATGAGATGCTAATCTTATGTTTTACAGAGAAGAAATATGAAAAATTCAACACTGACCTGAGAGAGTATTTTTGTTACACTATCATTATGAAGTCGTGCAATCATCATGGAAGCTACTGCCAGAATGAAGTCACCAGCCATTGCCACCTGAAACACAAAAATTTGTGTCCAGTTTCAAATTGCACTATTTTTTAAACCAGGAAAGAAATTCTTATAAACACAATAAAACACATGTCAATATAAATCACTGAACACATTGTTAAAAACAAAATTCAATTTGACATGAATTGATAAATTCTCAAATTACTTCAAAGCTGCAGTTTTATCAATATTTCAGAAAACGTCGCTATAATGTCAATGCATTTTTTCAATTTAAAATTTTCATTTTACCAATAAAAGAATACTACTCTGTGAGACCCTGAAGAATGTTTCAATGATTGTTTCTGTTTTCATGGTTTCATAGATTGCCTTCGAAAACTAATGGTCCTATAGAATACTACAGACTTCCTCACAACCGTTTGTTTTGTAATCTCTTTTATTCTATGCTAGTTATTCGGTGTACCCCATCCTCTTGTACTCACTTGAAGTACTTGCACTCACAAATGTAATAATATACTTTAAAAAAACATCTGTAATAGAAATATTAAAAATATGAGTAGTATTAAAAAAAGTGTTTGTCTAATTTTTTAAAAATCAAACAACCACATCAAAATGGCGTTTATGCTATGCTATATAGTGCATATAGCACTATCTGTTCAAAAAGGTTAAAGAAAAATTTGGAGTCGCTTTTGAGAAAATCTTGTTTCAAAAATATTGCATATATTACCTCAAAAATTACATGAAAACTATTAGGTTTTCAAAAACGTACATGACATTAATTACAGAAGTAATTGCTGAGAAAAAATATTAGAAGAAAAAATTATATCTTGTATAAAGTACTAGCATGAACGTGGTTCAAATATTTTCATATTGTTCCAATTATCGAAAATTTAGAGGTAACTGTGAAAATCGGACCTAGGACATATTTATAACTGTATTTTGCTCTTCTCTTAAAATAAATTCAAAGAAAACATTTGAGCCATATTTGAAAACATTTCCGAAATGCCATGTTAAGTATTCTTAATTCAAAGAATTATTTTCCCATCACAGGGTTTGAAGTCGGGCCACATTGACTGGCGAATATTTCTTTGGGCAAAACCCCTACGAATAGGCACTCGTATTGTTTACGGACAGTCGGGCAATACGCGGACGAAAGGTCAGTGGGACAGACGAGACCGACGGGCCGACTATCAGATCGGAATTTCAATTTTGGCGTAAATCTTACATGTTTAGATGATACTATTGTGGGCACAACAGACAGACAGACAATCGACAGATTGAATTTGCAGCGGAAACCGATTTTCAGTATCAAGGACACGAAAACATGGAATCTGTAAACATTACATATTCGAGAAAGTAATTTACTGCAGATAGGACCAAGAAAAATCATCTTTTTCGGATTCAAGGATCCGCGAAATGAGTTTTTCAGTAGAAAAACGTCACATTTCGCTGCAGAATTTTAATACTTTCTCTACAATAGTAAATGGTACAATAGAAAGCAAAAAACAAACACTTTTCGGTGACAAGGTTTCCCCAAAACGTAATTTTCGTCGAAATTTCGACATCATTTTTTTCAGAATCACAGAATTTTCTCTATACTACATTGCATCGAGAATTGAACGTGGTGCGCTGTCTGCGCAAACCGACATGGGCTTCCGACAATGCATATTTTTTCTGAACTTAATTCACATAGTTTATAACACGCTAAACACAAAAGACAGCAACAAAAATGGCTACATGTTTTTACAGACCGAATACTCAAGAGGCACGAATTGCCTTGCCCTTGGCAGCGAGTAAATAGTCCATTGCCAAAGACTCGCGAAGTCTACTGCAGATTAGTAGGAGTTTGGGTGTTTACACCTCCCCACAGTTGAGGTCCTCGCCGTCCAATATGTACTTATTAGCTGGAGTTGAGACTGAATTTGCAACGTGACACCTGAGTTCTGAATCGACTATTTAGGGTTTCTCATATTCGAAACGTGAGATGTAATTTTCTTCTCTACAGTTGAACGAGTTTCGAACGGATTTGAGCTGTTCCGCTGCGGTCGACTGGAAAGGTACGAATGGTTCCGTTGTGGGAAGAATATTTTACTTTATTACAAACTTATGAGGAAAATTGGTGCTTAAAAATGTGGTATCTGAGTTCAGTTTCCTTTTTTTCTTATATTATCGCTGTTACCTGACTTTATAGTGGTGCAGCGTTCATTACTTGATATATTATACTTGGACTTAACCAGTCTCTTATAATCCGTGCACTATCATCAAGGACGAGGCTAAGTAAATCAATTGCTCTCAGAGGGATTACGAAAGATCATTATTTGGTGTAGATTCACCTTTCAAAAATGTGGAATTTAACATGGTAGCACGTCTTTAAATTATATTAAACTTCTCTATTTCTCAAATTAATTCAGTAGGGAGGAGTGAAATTTTTCTGTTGTCTTCGCAAAATTTATGGAACGCGAGGGCCTATTTTCCAGTGGCGGCAGAGGCGGAGGTCACAATCGTTTTCGTAGAGTGTTCGACCTCTAAAACATTTCAAACTACGCTAATTTTTTCGGGTAATTTCTTCCAATATTTTCACGTGAAAATACTATTATAGAAAACTAAAATATTTTAACGTGTCCTTAACCTTGGCAGAGGGGCATTCGGTAACGTACAAGGACTTTATTAAGCCGGCATTATACAAAGAAGCCGCCGGCGGGGGACATAATCAGCGAGGAAGGGGCATGCCACCCCTTCATGACGTAACAGAGACGTACAGAGAGGTAGGTGATAGTGGGATATCTTAGAGAGGTTTTACGGTAGTGAGCAGAAGATTGAGCGATGAGTAGTTGGCGATAACGAGCGCAGCGATCGGCTGGGAAGCTTGGAGGACACTAGTGACGCGTTATGGGTCGTGAATCAGATATGAAGGGTGAAGCGCATTAGAAATTTCAACCCACGCCCCTGCCAACGGAGAGGAAGATGACCGTGCATGCCTTCAATAGCACACGCCGTCGCTTCGACCAGTGGGCGCTACCGTGCCTCTGGGGGCCATGGCACAGCTGCTGCGGATCGCGGGGCCCGTGCGGAAGCAGGCACTCAGCTTAGCCGGCGTGCGCCGCCGCTGCAGGTTTCGTACCGCCATGGCCACGGCCCAAGCCAGAAGTCGGTAATAACAGCCTTTTCCTTCTATTTTCCCGTTATCCTAGGTCTAGCACGAGACAGAGAAATTTCGAGTTCGTCAGGCCGAGGAGATCCAACCAGCACTGTGTTATTTATCTAAGACATTTTATTAATAATAACGCGCCATGATGGCGAGCATCGTTATCTTTCAATGCATTCACATGTTTTATTTAAACTAGAGTGTAAATAATTTGTTACGGAGAGTTGCAAGTTTTTTTTACGATAATTTTTCATTTTAAAAGTGTTCAAAGGAAACTGAATTGAGCAGGGAAGAGACAAGAGTTTGAGAGTACGTAACTTTTGAACTTATTTGACCAGATTGTTTTGTTTTCGTTTGTGTTTATTTTTGTTTGTCGTATTCTCTGGAGTTCGATCTCTTTGGTAACTTGGACGAAATCTTAGACGAATCTTAAAAAACTGGTTTGCGAATAAATATCGTGATGTTCCACTAGTCTGCATAGTAATAGAATAGTTTCATGTTTCTTTGTTAGGATTAACGGATGAGTTTCCTTGGATATTTCTGAATTTGTTTATTGGAAAAATAGTATATATCCTTGCTAATTTATCTAGTCTAACTGAGCGACATAGAAAGCAGATTGGTTGTTATTCCTCTGTTGCGAACTTGTATGGCATTACCTCGCATAACAATTGAATCGTGTTTTATTTTAAAAACCTCCACAGGTGTTGCGCTTGTTTTGTGAGAATAATAAGAAGCCGCAGGATATGACGCAATCATCGCCAAATTGGTGTACTATTCCCGTAAATCAGATTAATAGAATGCCGTGAGGCCTTCCTGTAAAGTTTTGGTTGGTGTTTGAATCTGTAAATGATTGGACTTGCGGGATGATGTAAGTTACTTGTGTTATGTAGTATTTAGTATTGTATAGTGTGTGTATGTATTTGTATTGTAAGTAGTATGTATTGTATGTAGTATGTATGTATTGTATGTAGTATTATGTACTTCATGTATGGATGACCTGCCACCTGTCAGCCTATGTACTGTATCGTCAGTACTCGTTCAGTACTGATGTATGTCAGGCTCACCTTTTTAGGTAATGTGAGTCATGTCATGTACTGCTCAGTCACCTGCTACTGTACTGTAGTGTATTGTCATGTCACTTTAGCTAGGTGTATGTCACCTCGCTAGTCACTGTATCTCTTGCTCACCTTCAGTATTGTAGTACTGTATCCTGTACTGGCTATCGTATGTAATATGTACTGTCCAGCCTTAATATGTAATATTAAATTATGTATGTTAGTAATGTGTATTGTAGTATGTATGTAGTATGTTATGTTATTTGTATGTAAGTTATGTGTGTATTTATTATTTGTATTTGGTAATGTGATTTGTATTGTAGGGTTAATTTTTTTAACTATGGGTTAGTATTTGTAAGGTATTGTTTAATGTATGTATGTAATGGTATATTGTAATTTTACAGTATGTTAACGAGCTGGGGATAATTCACTTGACAGAGAGCTCATTGATTAATAATGACCTCTACCTCATCTCCTCC